GCTTTTGGAACAATGTTTGGAACAACTAGAACAATCTATTGCGGTATCAGAATGTTCGATTTTCGAAAAGTGGGGTGCCAGCTCAAAAAATCATTTTTTTTTGTTTTATTCGAAAACCGTTTCGAATGAAGCAATATCACTTTGGAACAATGTGGTACAAAGTCAGAACAATCTGGAACAACTTTCAAAATTATAAATTTCAAAAAGTGGGGTGCCAACTTCATACACTCGAAAGTTAGTCTTCGCGAATCCTCATGGGATCCGCGCGATGCGTGCTGCGATATTATCAGCAGTAATCGCCTTAAAACTGATTAAAATGTCGGATATGCGCACGCAGAGAATTTTTTCGAGGATGTAAACATTCATTCGTCATATACTGAGAGAAAAATATATTTGTCTGTGGCGTCAACTATATTCTTTTGTGATTTTAACCACAAGAATAGTTAGAAAAACTTATTTTAGTGTTATTATAAAAATGGTTCTTCTAATTATATTTTTGGTTACAATCACAAAAAAGTATAATTGACGCCGAAAGCAACTATATTTTTCTCTCAGTATAGTGCCACACAGATGTCTTGCCCGGCTTGGATATACTTATAATGCGGAAAAGATTTCGAGAAAATGTGAAAAATGGGCCAATTTTGATCTAGAAGCTGCAACATAAATTATACGTGTAGAGGAGATCGGGGCATAGATGCTCTATATTTTAGAATGTCGAAGTTACAATTTCTCAGACAACTAATTGTTATGACTGACTGCATAAATATGATAGAAGCAACCTTCTTCTATGTATTAATGTACACCATGACGTTGTTAACCATACGTTTTATTTTTTAGTAACCCAAATATGAACATGCAGCATAGCCATCTTGTCCTTATATCGAATTTAGTTGGCTAGTAGCGCAGGTTAAGAAGGCCACACAGAGAGAACGATTTGTTGAATCAAATAAACGTTTCTTTGGAATGGTCCAAATAAATTGTTTGGTTGACACAACAAAAATATTTCTTTGGAACTAAATCGTAACTAATTATTTTTGTTACGTCAAACAAAACTTTGTTCAATCAATAAAAAAATTTGTTTGGACCATTCCAAAGAAGTGTTTGTTTTATTCAACCAAATTGTTTTCTCTGTACACGTATAAAATATGTATCTTGATTAGTAGTTACGGAATCCCCGCAAGAGATCTCCACAGTCCTTCTGTCGACTCTTAATTATAGGCCAACTTTACCTTTTTCGTCTATATGCTTTATTTCAATTACTTTATGAATGAAAATTGCATTTATTACCAGAAACAATATATTATACACTTCCAAGAAATTTCATTCTAACTAGTAACGCATCGCTTAATTTTATTCAATCGCGATGAGGAACATTGTTACAAAATGTCGAAACGCTCGAAAATTCACTTTGCTATTACCAAATCAATTTTTTCTATTTCTTAACTGTAGTATTGTTCCGATTTTAATGAAGCTCAAGGAAAGATGTTTATGTCTAAAAAGACTTTCGCAATTTTGTACCCACTATTCCTCTCAAGATAAATACTAAAGAAAAGCGCATGAGCAACATAACCCCGGCCTCCCCTATACATGTAATCTTACGTTTTCTATCATCTCTAAATACGACGATGGAATTTTTGTCTGTCTAAAAATTTGTGGGAGAATTGAACAAAATTCGCTTTGGAAAAGTCCATATAAATCATATATCATCAGGCTACAAAATTATATATCCGATATTTGCTTCAATATGAGTGTATCCTAGTCACGCAGCGCAAGTCTTACAAAAATTCTACTATGAATCCGCTGTATTGTACAACGAAGATTTTCTGCGTGCACGCGCACATGCACGCTTTAATTGAAATCGAAAATACGTCCCACCGTTTCGTCGCGAGTGCGCCTATCTCTTCCTTCTGCCTCCACTTCGCCCACATGATCAATTATCCTTGAATTAAGTTGGTCGCGACAGGGCCTCCTTTGTGGCTGCCTCCACTGATTGTTCTGGCAGCGTGAAATAGAGAAAAAGGAGAGAGAGAGAGAGGATGACATAGAACGTAATAAATCCCACCCTTGGCTACTCTTCGATCGATTCGGTCCTATTTCCTTCTACTACTATCCCCCTCTGTCTCCTCTCACAATCACCGCCTCCACCTTCGCGGCCTTCCTACCTTCCGTTCAGTCGTGCTTTTAATGCACGCACCATCGACAGTTATTACTTTCCGCGTGGCCGCGATGCAAGTTTCTCATTAGCGCGATTAATGGGTCATATACCACCGTGACACCGTCTTTCTACCCTATTTTCTTCCTTTTTTCTTGGAGGGTTCCATCCCGGTTCATTAACGCGTCGCTTTCGCAGAGAAACGTCGGCATCTGCTCTTCCTCTGTCCCCCTCCTTCCCCTTCATCTCCCCTCTCTCTACTTTTCTTCTTTCTTCATCCACTTTTCTTCTTTCTCTACCTCTCCTCTCTCTCTCTCTCTCTCTCTCTCTCTCTCTCTCTCTCTCCCTCTCTC